GGTAAGTGCATGAATGGAGGGTGCTTAGTGGTTGCAAGTCGAATGTTGAGGTTGGGTGGTGACGAATAGGTTATTGGAAATTATTGAATCGAAGTGTTATAATTGGGCTTGCTTAAGCGGGAAGAATGTGAATTTTTGTGTGTTCATGCTTGTGTGCCGGTATTGATCGTAGTCAAGGGTGTAGTGTGTGGTTAAAAGTTAAGGTGGTCCTCTATAATTGATACTTGTACGTATTTGGGGGTTTATTAGATAGTCCCACTGCTCGAGGACGGGCAAGAGTCTAAGTGTGGGGTGTTGATGTTAGCTTAAAGTATATATATTTTTATGTATATCGCCTCATATCTTATTATTGTTTCGTGAATTTGGGATGTTAAATGCTATGAATTATATTGATTTGAAGTGTTTTTACTTGTAGGAATGATTCGGGAGCAATTTGGGGCAAAAACGTGCAAGATTTGAAGCTAAAACGAACAAAATCGGAAAAGGAAGCCAGTTGGGCGCCATAGGCAGCGCTTGGCGACACTTGTGGCGCCGAAAACAGTATGCTCAAAATTAGGGCGCTATGGAGGGCGCCTGGCGCCGGGCTGGGCACCGGTGACGCGAATTGTGTCCTATTTCGCCCGGGATACGGTTTATTCGACCCTAAATCTATCCAACACGTATAAAAGGAAGACTAAGCCTAATTTTGGAGGGGGGACGCCACTTTTGAGGAGATCTAACAGACTTTGAAGGAGAATTCACGTGGAGGAACACACACCACGCTTGGAGGAGGCCTCTAACTAGTTTTTCTTCTCTTCTCTTCCTTTAATCTCATAGTTTATTAGTTCTAGAGTTTTGGTTGCTACATGAACGTTGCAGTTTGAAGCTTGAATTGTTCTTATTATTTTATCATATTGGTTTATTTATTCAATCTTGTGCTTAATTATTTTATTGCTTGATCACCAATTGAATACTATCTACGAATCTAGGATTGAACTCGGGAGAGGGAATTCTAGATTGCATATAAGATTGAGTAGAGCAAGATATTAACTCTAAGGGGGAGTGGATTTGCGGCTAGGATAGGAATATACCTAATCGCCTTGCTTGGTTATCATACGGGAATTATAAATGCATTCTTGTTAATTCTAATTCCATAGGAATATAGGCGTTAGATTAGCTTGAATAGGCAAGTTGTACTTCGGAAGAAGGCTACGAGTAATATTAACCCCGTCAATCAATAAATTAGATAAATTAATTAGACGATTTCAGTGGAAAACTCAATGGGATTGTTAGCCAACCCATAACTCTAGAATATGGTCTATCATTGAATTCGTGTCTATTTTCGCCAACTTGTTTTCTTTAATCTCTTTGTTTGCTACTCTAGATTAATTTTAGTTAAATATTCATACGTTAGGATTCGCTTGAATAGATTAATTGTTTGGTTTAATTTAGTTGATAGTTAATCACAAGTACCTGTGGGTACGATATCTGGACTTACAATCCTATATTACTTGCCGACCACGTATACTTGCGTGTGCGTTTGGGAGCAACAGTCCACATGACTTTGTGCTGCTACATAGGAACCACAGGAGCACCAGGTCCTTGATTTGTTCGTTGCTCCCGAATCTGTAGCAGTTCATCCTTAACTGGAATCCATTTAAGTTTGCAGCAATCCAAGTAGGTCAGGTTCCCTATTTGGTTCTTATCAGTAAGTTTGTTAGATCATCAAAACACACGGCAATAGTATTTAAGATCTATCAATTTCCCCCTTTTTGATGATGACAAAATTAAACAGTTATAAGATAAAAATTAAGGCAGCAGAGAGCAGTGTCAAAGAGTTCCCCCTGAGACGATGTCTTTATACATAAAGAACCAGTTCCCCAATGTGATTCCCCCTGGGTCCATATTAATCTTTCCCCCTTTTGGTATCATTAAAAAGAATAAAAGCACAAAGAAGTCCGACCAAGCTAACTCATGCCACATATGTGCACACTAGCATAAGAAAGAATAGAACGCAAAGAGAATGTAATAGACAAAATAAAAGAGGATTTAGATTAATAAAAGTTTCATATGCCCCTTCCTTTGAAAAAGAAAGAGGCAACATTTGGACTTGATCACGGGAGTAGTAGTAGTAGTACATCCCAAACACAACGAAAAAACAACAAAAAAACATCCACCAATCATCAATAGAAAAAAGAGAAAAAAAACACATCCAGATAATTTGTCACTGAGGTGAAACTTAGGGGGAACTAGGAGGAAAAGGCTTGGAAGCAACGACAAGTGTCTGGAGAACAAGGTCTATTTGGGCATTTCCTGACTTTTGCTCGTTGAGCAGTCGGCTTTCAGGTTCTCAACTTGCGCCCTGAGGTCAGCATTTTCTTGAGTCAAACAGATCACCTCATCATTCGACATGGGAACCGCTCGAGCTTGCTGTCCTTCCAGGATGGCATTCCTGGCCTTCAGTCGACGTATCTCCTCAGCTGCGCTGTTTTGGGCATTGATGAGATGAGACACAATTAAAGTGCTTCCTACACCCCCATACTTCTCAGTACACTTGCACTCTTCGAAGGTTGTTCGTGAGAATGTCTGCTTGCGGGTCCCTACTTTACCTGTTCCTAGCGGAACCTCAAAGTATTTGAACACTTGCGTGAGCAAGAATCCATTGGGAAGCCCGTGATTGCCATCCTTGAAATCAGCCACTTTCTGCATGTGCTCAATCATTACGGCAGGCAGACTCACAGGGTTGAAACCGTCCAAATGCTCCATTAAGAATAAATCATATTTGGAAGTGATAGATCTCCTTTCTTCTCGAGGCAACAGGACTTTGTTCACCAGTTCAAACAACAACTGGTAGACGGGAAGTAGTGCTTTCTTATGTACCTGGTCCTCCTTTTGATTAGAGTTATCTTTCATGACTGTATTTCGGAAGTTGTATTGATAAACATCTCTCACACTAGACACCCCAACAGTAGGAACTTGCAGAATTTCCCCAAAATATTTCACTTCAAAAACAATATCTACCCCATTTACTAAAGCACACACATGGTCAGTATCCACTGGAAAGAGACTGGCGAAAAAGCTCTTGACCTCCTCCTCATACACTTTAGGAGCATCAATGTAGAACAGATGCATCCATTGCTGAAACTCCACCATTTCTAGAAGCTGACGCATTCCTGCCATCTCAGAGATTGTTGGGCCAAACATGCGACCCAGCAAAACCTTTTGATGGCTTAGTCGCTCAGATCCAAGGCATACGTCACTTCTTGCTTTCTTCCCAGAATTGGGTTCTTCAACTGTTTCCCATTTGCGTTTCCTATGCTTTTCTCCACTAAATTTACCTTTCCCCTTGGACTTGACAAGAATATCTTCATCACTCACTGCCTCCTTTGTCTTGGTCTTAGAAGTAGATCCTTTTTCTAAGGAGACAGACTCAACCTTTTTCAAGGACCTCCTAACAAGGGAAACAGGTTCCTCAGGGGTTCCTTCCTCCACCACAATGACGGGAATAACTTCATCACTTTCAGGGACACCATTTATTACCAACTTTCTCCTTTTTATTTTACTACTTTTCTTGCTCTTTTGAAGTGCAGAATCGTAGGCTGCTTTGACTTGAAGCCTGGCTGTAGGCCGCTTACTTTTAGACTTAGGAGTGGTAACAACCCTGCGCTAACTCAAGAATGCATCTAGGGCCACATTGTCCAGGTCTTCTTCATCACTAAACCTCATTTTTGTTACTTGAATTTTCAGGGGCACAACATTGAAAGCAGGTACAACACTATCCTAGAGATGAAAGTCCTGACCTAGGTCCTTTGGAGAGGGATCGGGTTCCTCATGAGATGCCCCAGTAGTGTATACTTCTGCATCCCCTTCAACAGCCAGAAGGGTCCCTTTTACCCACACGCTTTGTGACTCTTGTCTCTGAGAAATAACTTCATGCAGTATGCCATCCGCGGATACGACAAACACAGTCTTTTCTTCCTCAACAGGTGCTTCCACGACCATGGAGTCGATGGTAACGATGGCGGAGCCTTCTGTGAAGTCGGTATTTTCACCTTGTTTTCCAATTAGGGTTTTACTGGTGTGGGCATCAGATGAAATTGAGGACAAAACAGTGGTTTCAGGAGTTTCAGAGTAGGTAGGAGGTTGGGAAACTAGGGAAGGAGTGATTGTAGCAGTGGAGGTGATAGAGGGTGACACAGACTCAGTGAAGGGGAGGGGTTCCATGGATGGGTCGGAGGTTTTCTCAACCATTGGAAGAGGAGGTGTGATGATCCTTCCTTTTTGGTGAATCTTGAATAGGGCTTATGGTTAGGAAAAACAGACAAGAGGGGTCTTTAAACGGAGAGGACAATTATGAAGTGAGAAGAATAGGTACCGGTGCTGAAACGACGGTTGGGCGTGGAGAATCATGATGTTTTAGAGGGAGATAGAACGTTTTGAATTGAAGAGACGTGACAGCCGGATCTAAAAAGTTGATGACATGGTAGTTGTATTTTGTGCCTTTTAAGACGTGTATTAAAGGATGTACAGAACTACTAACCTTTAGTACAAGAACTTGGTTCTTGCGAAACATTTTCTTCAAGCCCTTCAAGCCCTCCTTCCCTTTTTTTGAAAAGAATTAATCCTCTTTTATCAGTCATGTACTGCATGTATTGCTTCTATGCTCATCATGCGTGTTTACCTGCAACGATATTGAAGTGAGTTAGGCAAGGCCAGAAAACACTTTGAACCTATTATTTCTTAATAACTCTAACCAAATCAAAAAGGGATCAGGTTCATAGTTTGGCTTCAACGGTCCCAACTTTACTCTGTTTCTTTCGAATTTTTCCCTACTAAGTACCTTGGTAAAAATGTCTGCAACTTGATCTTCAGTGCTGCAGAACTTCATCCATATCAACCCTTTCTCCACATTATCTCTCAGAAAATGATGCCTCACATCAATATGTTTGGTCCTTTTATGGTGGATTGTATTCTTTGCCATGTTGAGTGCACCGGTGTTGTCACATAGGAGAGGCACACTCTCAGTGAGAACTCCAAAATCCTCCAGTTGCTAATTGATCCACAGAAGCTGAGCACAGCAGGATGCTGCAGCCACATATTCAGCTTCAGTTGTTGAAAGAGCCACTGAATTTTGCTTCCTTGTACCCCAAGAGATAAGACATGATCCTAAGAAGTGAGCCATCCCAGAAGTACTTTTTCTGTCCACAAGATAACATGCATAGTCTACATCAGCATACCCAATTAGATTAAAATTATCACCTGATGGATAATATAGCACCGGGTCCTGCGTGCCTTTGAGATATCTCAGTATTCTTTTGGCAGCCTTCAAGTGAGATTACTTGGGGTTGGATTGAACTTCGCACATAACCCCACGCTGAAAACAGTATCAGGTCGACTGGCAGTGATATAGAGAAGAGACCCAATGATGCCTCTATACATTGTTTGATTCACAGGAGATCCCGTTTCATCCATGTCCAGTCGAGTGGTAGTTGCAATGGGAGTGTCCATCACCTTTGATGCTTCCATGTCAAACCTTTTCAAGAGTTCCCGGATATGTTTTTGCTAACATATGGAAGTACCTATTGGGGACTGTTTTACTTGAAGACCCAAGAAGAAATTTAATTCCCCCATCATGCTCATGTCAAATTCACTCCCCATAAGTTTTGCAAATTCTTCACATAGATAGTCAGTTGTTGCTCCAAAGATGATATCATCAACATAGACCTGAACAATGAGCAGGTTCCTTCCTCGTTTCTTTAAGAAAAGAGTGTTATCAATCTTCCCTCTCTTAAATCCATTTTCTAAGAGAAATTTTGACAATCTTTCATACCACGCTCGAGGAGCCTGCTTTAGCCCATATAGGGCTTTGTCCAATTTGAACACATACTCACGGTGCTCATGACTTTCAAACCTAGGAGGTTGCTTCACATAGACTTCTTCCTTAAGTAGTCCATTCAAGAATGCACTTTTGACATCCATTTGGAATAAAGTGAATTCCATATGAGAAGCAAAGGCAATCAGAATTTTGATGGCTTCCATGCGAGCCACAGGAGCAAAAGTTTCATCATAGTCAATCCCTTCCTCCTGATTGTAACCTTGAACCACTAGCCTGGCATTGTTCCTTGTGGTAATTCCATGCTCATCGAGCTTGTTTCTGAATACCCACCTGGTTCCTATAATGGTTCTATCTGGGGGTCTGGGTACCAGGTGCCGCACACCATTTCTCTCAAACTGATGCAACTCATCTTGCATGGCTGTAATCCAATCTACATCTTTTAGGGCTTCCTTGATGTTTTTGGGTTCTATCTAGGAGAGAAAAGCTGAGAAGGCAAGTGAATTTCTAGCTCTTGACCTGGTTTAGACTCCGGATTCTAGAGGAGTGATTATGTTGTCTATGGGGTGAGAACTTTGATGTCTCGAGTTAGATGATTGGGGTTCATTCTGAGAAGAAGAAGGTATGTTTGGTTGATTATCCTCTATCCTTCTCTCAGATGCAAGTGGAGTTCCCTGAACTACATCAACCACTCTTTCTTCAGCTTTAGTGGTTGTAATTGAAGTGCTTGATTCTGTAGATGATGAGGCAACATTGTCTTCATTTGCCTCCTTCATTTCACTCATCATATCTGCCTTTCCGTTTGTCATGTTAATGACTTTGCCAGGAACAAGTAAGGGTTCTACATCTTGATCTTCCTCAGCGTTCTTCTCAAATGATGGGTGAGATTCATCAAAGATAACATGGACGCTTTCTTCAACATATTGAGTCCGCTTGTTATATATCTTGTAAGCCTTGCTTTGAGAAGAGTAGCCAAGAAATATCCCCTCGTCACTTTTGGCATCGAACTTACCAAGCTGATCTTTTCCATTGTTGAGAACATAGCATTTGCATCCAAACGTTCTTAGGTAGGTCAGCTTGGGTTTTCATCCATTTAGCAGTTCATATGGTGTCTTGTTCAGAATTAATCTAATCATGCACCTATTCACTAAGTAGCAGGCAGTGTTGACACCTTCAACCCAAAAGTTCTTTGCAAGTCCACTGTCAATCAGCATTGTTCTTGACATTTCTTCCAGAGTTCTGTTCTTTCTTTCTACTACACCATTTTGCTGAGGAGTTCTAGGATCTGAGAAGTTGTGAGAGATACCATTTTCATTGCAGAAATCATAAAATTTGACATTGTCAAATTCTGTCCCATGATCTGATCTAATGCATATAACTTTAGACTCCATCTTCACCTGAATTTTCTTCACAAAGGCCACAAATACTTCAGCCATTTTATCTCTTTCCTCCTTTTCTTTGCACCCTCATAGGTCCACACAAATCCATATGCAAGAGCTCAAGTGCTTTTGAGGTGCTCACATCTCGTTTTGACTTAAAGGAGGACTTTACATGTTTTCCTCTAGCATAGACATCGTAGACTTTTTGAGTTTTGAATTGTGACATAGGCAAACCATGGACTAGGTCCTTCTGAATTAGTTTCTTCAGAAGAGAGAAGCTTGCATGGCCCAGTCTTCTGTGCCATAGTATAGCATCATCGTCAACCGCCTTTAGACAACTCAGATCACCACTCTGTAAAGATTCAAAATCAGCAACATAGATGTTCTTGTATCTTTTGGCCACCAGGACTATTTCACCAGTCACAAGGTTAGTGACTATACATATTTTGGACAAGAACTCCACCTTGTTTCCCTTATCGCAAATTTGAGAGACACTCAGGAGACTGTACTTAAGTCCATTGACATAGTACAGATTTACAATTGAGTAAGTGAGTGACTTCCCAACTTTTCCAACTCCAAGAATGTACCCCTTTTGCCATTGCCAAAGGATACACTCCCTCCTTGCAGGGCTTTTAGTGAAAGAAAGTTTGTGGTGTTCCCAGTCATGTGTTTCGAACATCCACTATCCATGAATCATTGTTGATCACTTCCCTTCATTGTCCCCTGCACAAGAATTTTAGGAGTTATTTTTAGGAACCCAAATAAGTTTGGGTCCCTTGTAGTAACCAAGAGAATGAATAAGAGCTCTTTTAGTCCATGCAGGTAATGTACGTTTCTATGAGTGGACCCTGGTCCCTCTTTTGTGATCACAGTTCCAGGAACCACTTTATCTTTTGGTACTGATTGATTTTTGGCCTGGACACCTTCCTTGGAGTGCCCAGTGTTCCCACATTAGGTCCAAGGCAAGTTATCAGATGCAGTGGCGCTCTTACTGTGAGGGTTGTAAGGATTCTTTTTCCTTGAAAACCCTGCTCCCCGCCCTTTTTCATTATCATTAGTGAATAAGGCAGTGGTAGCCTCTACGGACCAGGTCCACCTTAGAGACTTTTCAAGGTCATTCATTACTTTTTTAGATTGGCTTGGAGGAGCTCATTTTTCTCAATTTCAGCGCTCATCCTACATCTCAAGGCCTTCACCTCATCTTCAAGCCTAACATACTCCTCACTAACTATCTCCTTTCTTCTTTCAGGGTTTTCAGGTATTGACTTAGTCAAGGGCTCTACTATTTGTTCCCTTTGGTCAAAAGCTTCTGCCAAGAGATCACTCTTTTCTTTTCTAAGAGTTTCAATGGCATTCTTTTGATTAATAATTACAGCCACTAAGTCTTTCCTAGTATATTCAGATTTTTTTAGTTCTAAGAACAAGGAATCCCTATTCTCCGCAAGACTAAAACATCAGCTAAACACATGAGTTTTTTTGGAGAGTAGGATTTCAAATTTTTCTGAACATCCCTGAAGTTTACCTCTTCATTGCCATTGTCTTCATCATTGTCTGATTGCCCCATCAAGACAAGCGTTGAGTCATATCCAGTTCCCTCACCTTCAACTGCCATCGTAGAACTATCGTCAGTATTAGATTTATTGTGTTTTACTTGTGTAGTTCCATCATAAGCTACTTCCAAAGCCTCCCATATTTCCTTAGAAGTGCCGCATGTAGAGATTCTATCGTACTCATTAGGTTCCAAACCATATACCAGAATTTTCATAGCACGAGCATTCTTCTTCAATGCTTTCCTGTCTGCTTTAGTGTATTCTCCACTGGTCTTGATTGGAACAAAAGGAGCATCGCAGATAATATCCCAAAGCTCGCAATCCTCAGCCATGATGAATTCATGCATTCTAGCTTTCCACCACCAATAGAATTTTCCATCAAACTTGGGCGGGTGGTATATGGATTGACCTTCTTCAAAATTTAGTGGAGTCGTCATGAGGATCCTTCCTAGGTGTTAACTTGATAGGAGGAACCTGCTTTGATACCAATTAATAGTTTGTATGGTTCCACCAAGTCTTAGAGTACCTGGTCCTCTACAGGTTTCTACTGAGAGCACTTAGTAAAGCAGTAAGTAAATAAGGCAGAGGATTTTTCACGTGGAAAAATCCCGCACAAGGAGATCAAAAAACCACGACCTACACCTGTAGGTCTATAACTTTACTAACTTGTAATCTTACCTATTACAAGCCACTTTGCAATACTTCCGATTGAAAATGATTTACTCAACTAACTTGTGGTACTTTTACCACAAGCCACTTTGTGACTTTCCTAGTTACAAAGGCTTTTTCTAACTTGTGGTGCTATCACCCCAAGCCACTTTGCAACACTACGATTACAAAGACTTTTCTTTATGACTAAATCTAGTGACAACCTAAACTCAACGAGTTTAAGGATTTACAAGAGGACTCCTAATCAGTATGCTTCTAGGTAAGCGATTTAGGAGATATAGTAAGTACAACAACAAGGTTACAAATCAACTAGGACAACAATAATCAATCTTTTAAGAACTGGTCCGTAGTGGCATTCAACCTTGTTCTTCAAGCTTGAGAGGATGATGAGTTTTTTTTCTGCAAAAGCTTGAATGAGAAACAGAAACCATCCAGTGATGTCTTTGTATGAAGCTTCATCGGGTACATCTTGATCACATCACTTGAGGTGATGTGAGTGCTTTGTTTGGTGAAAGAGTTAGTGGGCTGGCAGTGTATTGCAGTGCGACAGAAACAAAGCCGTCAGTCACTTCAGTTCCAGCTGTGTCCACATGACTTTGTACTGCAACTTAGGAACCACAGGAGCACCAGGTCCTTGATTTGTTCCTAGCTCCTGAATCTGTAGTAGTTCATCCTTAGCTGGAATCCGTTTAAGCTTGCAGCAATCCAAGTAGGTCAGGTTCCCTATCTGGTTCATATCAGTAAGTTTGTTAGATCATCAAAACACATGGCAAGAGTATTTAAGATCTATCACATGTGTTTTCTTGATATTAATCGATATTTGTGGATCGGGCCGATAGCCTCGGTAGAAATAGATGTATCTATGGTTCGCGCCATTCGACCCTCTGGAAGTGCAATATTTATTTTCTGTTGGATCAGGCCGTCGACCTCGACATAGTGTGCGCATGATATCTATGTGAAATCTTATCCATGACTTTACCGGTTAAATATTTGAAATGTAAATGGCTAATTGTAAAATTGTTAAGAACATGACATATTACCTCTTGCTACAAACTGTTGATTATTTGTGATTTCTACGCTTAGTGTAACACTTTATTGCATTATTTGACCTTAGTAAGTATCAAGTCGACCTCTCGTCTCTACTCTTTCAAGATTAGACAGGATATTTATGGGGTACATATTGTTTATCTACTCATACTACACTTTTGTACTTAATGTACATGATCTGAGGTAGGTATATCTGACTATCAGACTAGTGTGCGCCCCTGATTTATAGACCGAGACTTCCAAGGTGAGCTGCTCCCTTCCGCTGCCGTTCAGCAGCTTGATGGGGTCTTTCTTTACTTTTGCTGTCTATTCTATCCCGGACAGTAGGATAGTATTATTCTTTTGTAAATTCTACTAGTTGCCCACTACTTGTGACATCAGGTCTTGGCACACACATTAGTAGACAGTTCTTTTGGGTTGTACAATTATTATTAAATATTGATTATCATCACCTATTTTAATTGTAAATTAAGAAATGTTGTAACAGATTTGGGTAAGTAAAATAAGAATTTACTAATACTTCCGCGTTGGCTTGCCTAACAACGGTGTTGGACGCCATCACGACCCTTAGTAGATTTTGGGCCGTGACAACATGGTATCAGAGTACTAGGTTCATGTAGGTCTCACAAGTCATGGGCAAACCTAATAGAGTATTGCGGATCGGTACAGAGACGTCTTTATTTATCTTCGAGAGCCCATAGGGTGTTAGGAAAACTATTCTTTATTCATTTCCTATCGTGCAGTGCTTGTTATGCTAAATTTCCCTCTTCTATTCTCTCATAGATGGTGAGGACACGTACGACTGATGTTCCAGACCTTGGCGGAGCTACTCCCCCCATTGCTAGAGGCCGAGGCAGAGGCCGGGGGAGGGCACCGGCCCGAGGTAGGGAATGATGGTGTCCTAGAGTTATCCTAGTAGTACCACCAGCAGATCCCGCGGGAGATCCTATCATCGAGGAGTAGGGAGAGGTGCCCGCAGCTGAGCCCATCCCGGTGGACTTTGTGACAGCACCGGGATTCCAGGAGGTCATGGGCCGTATATTGCAGTTCATGGATTCTATGACTCAGGCTGGTTTATTTCTAGCAGATCCATCTGCATGCAGGAGGGGGAGCACAGACCCCTACTGCTCAGGCCCTTGGACATGTAGTTGCAATGTATCAGACTCCGAGTTCACTACCCGCAGATGGGGCTCCACTAGTTGCTACAGTGGCACCCTAGACCAGCTGCAGATGGTGATTCGCAGAAGTTATTGGATAGATGGACTAGGCTTCACCCTCTGGTCTTCGGGGGCGAGCGTCATGAGGATGCCCAGGACTTCATAGATAGGTACATGGACAGACTGCACAACATGAGGATATTGGAGTCGTATGGAGTTGACTTTACTACTTTTCAGCTTGAGGGCAAGGCCTGTAGATGGTGGCAGTCTTATGTTCTAGGCAGGCCAACAGGTTCTCCTCCCATCACTTGCGGTCAGTTCGCACAGTTGTTCTTGGATAGGTACATTCCACCCTTTGAGAGGGAAGACCTACGATATCAGTTGTCTCGCCATGCACTCATGATACTTCCCACAGATGCAGAGAGAGTGTAGAGATTTGTTGCGGGGTTGCACCCCGGTATTCGATCTGGCATGGCCCGAGAGGTGGAGATGGGTACAGAGTATCAGCTAGTGGTAGAGATTGCTCGGAGAATTGAGGGATATCGCCAGAGGGGTAGAGAGCAGATGCAGCAGGATAAGAGGGCTAGATTCTCTAGAGAGTTCAAAGGTGCCCCGGCTAGGGATAAAGGTCAAT